CAAAAAAAAAAAAAACAAAAAAAAACCATGCGTGGCTCTGTGCGGGGGCTCACGCCTGTAATCCTAGCACTCTGGGAGGCCAAGGCAGGAGGATCACTTGAGCTCAGCAGTTCGAGACCAGCCTCATCAAGAGTGAGACCCCATCTTTACAAAAAAATAGAAAGTAGTCCCAGCTACTCGGGTGGCTGAGGCAGGAGGACTGCTTCAACCTAGGAGTTTGATTTTACAGTGAGCTATGATGACGCCACTGCACTCTAGCCCGGGTGACAGAGTGAGACTCTTTCTCAAAAAAAAGAAAAAAAACAAAAAAACCTGTGCCTAAATGTGAGTATAAGGAAAGAGTCATCTATTGTTTTATAATAAAAAAACAAAAAGTTAAAAAATTAATTGGACAATTTTGAATTAAGATTTTTATGCTGCCTGCCCCGGATTTACACAGTGTTACAAAAATCAAACCTCAACCATCATTTTCTTCAGTAGAGATTTTTTGATTGCCTCTTTTGTGTAAAACTAATTAAAAAGCCAGTAATGCATTCATTTAAAAACGTAAATGATGTGCTATTTCAAATGAGGTTAATCAGATTCTTATTAAAAGTACTGAAGTTTAGAAATTCTATACTGAAATATAAAACCTAGCAGTTTTAATTAGATGTTTACATTTGCCTTCTCATGTACTATTTTATATTTTCATGTTTTCATTGGATGTAAATTGTAACTTCCTAAGTATCTTTCTGAAATACATTTATAAATAGTATGTGCTGATGTTAGCCAAAGCACTACTGAATGAATTCAATTTCTAAATCTGTTATTTTAAGCATGGTTATTTTATTCAGTTGCAATATTTATTAATTTATCTTTTGGTAAACTGTGACTTTGCTTAATCAATTGCCTTATTTTTGTTAGTTAAGTGATTTTCTTATAATACCAATAACTTAGTTGTTTTAACAGTTGGAAAATTTTTATTTTCTGCAATAATATTGCTATCTCTTTTGGACAAAATGCAGAGACTGTCATTTTTAATCAGACTATCAGGTGATATGTGCTATGGCTAGCATTAAAATATTCTTTGGAATATGTCTAATGAGGGGAAAAAAAGAAAAATATGTAATTAGAACAAATGCTTCTTGTGTGAGAGCTCTGCCTATCTTGAGATTATAAAACAGCCCTGCAGAGCTATTTTCTTTGCAGACATTTGCAGAGTTTCTAAGGAAATCAGTGTATCTGTGATAAATCTTATATTTTAGGAAATGCATTCATCTAGGATATTTAATATTTCTGGAGGTGTTCAAATGTCCCAAAATATTAATTTTGATGTAGTTTGTGGTGTTTGTTTCATTAAAAATGAATCTAGAAGCCTTATGAGGTCTTTGATGAACTTAGGTCTGTTGAAGGATTGAATTAGGGTCTTTTGCATGCTGCTGCTGTTTGTTTGGTAATATAACTAAATGGGATAGATTTTCTGTTCTAAGATCCTAAATACATACATAACCTATAAATGAGAATGCTTTCGTATTCTAACAACTTTGTTTTTTTAAAAACCCAAATACAACTATGAGTAAACCTAAGCTTACTAGCAATATTACAGGAGTCATGTGCTAATTTAAGAAAAACATTTTTCTGCTTTGTGATGCCCCTTACTGCTTTCTCTTTTTCCCCCTCTTCCTGTTACCAGTTGCAGTTTTGTGTTAGAAAGAGTAAGGTGTGCTTATCAGTCCTTTATTACTTGAAACCTTTAGGACTTTTCCTAAGTTTGCTATGGTCCTTTAAAAAATTCCTTTTGTACTTTCTGTTATGGTTTGATTTTCAATAAGCTGATATATTTTAATATGAAAACATATGTGAAGATTTCAATTTTTTGATAAATCCCTGGAGAGAACAGCTTTCTTGGAAAAGGATTTCTCGGGAGGAAGAACAGAAAACTGCTTTCTATTTAAGAAAAAAAAAATGAAACTTAAAAATACTTTCTTAATACTTTATTAACAGATAAAACTACTGTTATTTTGGTTATAGTTTTATCCAATTATGTAAAACTTGGTGTGTAATGAAAGCATAGGGCTCTCTGCCTCTGCATTTCCAGATTTTCTGTTTTATGCTTGGCATAATTATATAATATTGGTTAATTTAATCAACCCCTGGAATTGTTTATCAGCTGTAGCCACCAATCAGGTTTTCTCTTTCCTTACCCAGTTTAAGGGAAATTTCTAAAAATTATCATTTTTAGTTTAAAATAAAAATTGAAAATTGATCATTAGACCATTCCCACTTTTTGTTGATAACCCAGTAAAATTGTTTTCTGCAGTGCTAAGTAGGAGTATCAACTGTAATTTGATGCCTAACTTCAGTTCGATGTTTACTTTTAGATCATTGATGTATAGTGAAGCTAACAGACGGGAGACATTTACCTCATGGCCTCATGTAGGCTATCGGTGGGCACAACCGGATCCCATGGCTCAAGCTGGATTTTATCATCAGGTAAAAATGGCTATCAAATATATGTATATTTTTAATATGCTTTTGTAGAATCATCAGTAAAATCATCAGCATTTTAGTACTTTTCCTAGAACTTATTTTATGCAACGTGTTTGTGTGCTTGTGTGTATGCATTTATGTGAGTTTTGTTATTTATCTATTTATTTTTTAAAAGATAAGGGGTCTTGCTGTGTTGCCCAGGCTGGACTCGAACTCCTGTCCTCAAGCAATCCTCCTACCTCAGGCTCCCAAATAGCTAGGAGTATAGGTGTATAGGTGCATGCCACTATATCTTTGATGATGATACTGAGTGGCTATTTCCTGTGTTGTGTATTGTATAAGAAAAGGAAAAAATTGTTAAAAGTAACTGTAGTAATAACTGAGTTACCTAATACTTAATAACAAAGTATTTTCTTTCAGATTAGATACAGTTTTCTTTTAAATCACCAAATAGGCAGTATTCCCAAGATTTGGTTTTTGAAAAATGTTCTCTTTGAGTGTATGTTTGTTTTGTTTTTGACTCCTGCATTTGTAACACAGCAGTAGATGCTTAGGGTAGTGCAATAAAAGCAGTTTATAGCTGTTCCTGAGATTCTAATTTTAGCTGGGATACAAATTGTCCATAAAGTAGATAACTATAGAAGCAGCATTACAGGTAGTGCAGTGCAACCCTAATACATATGTACTGAAGAACTGATTAAGAAGATGTGTAACACAAAGAAATGATAAATGCCTGAGGTGATGGATATTCTACTTATCCTGATGTGATTAATTTACATTATGTCCTGCATCAAAATATCACATGTACCCTATAAATATATACAACTATTATGTACCCATAATTAAAAATTTAAAAAAGTTCTGTAGAGAGAGAAAGTATTAGTCAACAAAAATAGTCATAGTTATATGTAGGAAAAGAAGAGGGCATACAGTATGAGGATTAGCATGATAACAAGACATGAGAATGGGACATTATGGAAAGCTTTACTGAACTAAAGTAGAAGGAAGTTAAGAAAAATGATTTGAGCTAGGTGTAATATAATAGTTAATAGTAAAGTTTAACTGAGTAATATAGACTGGCTTACCACTGTTTTACCACTACTAAATAAGAAATTGAATACTTACCTGTCAGTTTACATAAAGCATGCTTAACTTTAGAATTCAAGTGAACTTTGAAGTACATTACCATTACTGTCATTAAGAATCTGAAGAGAGATTATTCTTTAGTTATCTTGAAGTATTCTGAATATCTTAACTAAGGTTAAACCAGAAAACTATGGATATTTGAATATTTTATTCAAAGTTTGTCAAATTTTCAGTTAAAGATAGATAAATTTGGAGACTGGCTACTGTCAGAATCACAGAAATTATTTCCGTAAATTAAGAATTGAATATGGACCATTCTTCCTAGCAATTTATCTTTTTCCTTTTAATTTGGTATCATTTTCTGAAAGAGTCTCTGTTAAGTGATGCCTTGATATTTTTTTCTGTTGAGTTATTATTTATTATATTCTGCCTTTGCAAAGAGATTAAATCACAGATTTCCTGCCTGTGTTAGGGGCTGATTATTCTTTT